CGGATCCGGTAACTTGCAAAGGCAGAGCGGGGCCGGCCAGGGAGGCACTGTCCCCACGGGTCTCAGGGCACAAGAAGTGTTTCACACGCTTGTTGCATCGGTCAGCACTGAAGTACCGCCTTGCCAATGTTAATCGCCGCTTCCTTGAGCTCAGGGTAAAATTCCTGAGCACACGCATGCCTGTAATGTGCAAAGTGCTTTCCTCGCTCTTCTCATCTGCCCTATCATTTCCTTAGAGTGTAATTACTGCAGTGCTTTTAGCTGGAGCGCTTAGGTATCATCCAGATACATGCGAAACACAATGTTGTGCACATGTATCATTTTTTTAAAAGTTCAATTCAGGTCTGTAAGGAAGGGCTTGCTGTTCGGGGTAAGAGTGAAGCTCCAAACTAAACACACTTAGGACGGTAATAACTAGAAAGAATGCTTGTCTGGCTCTGAGTGCCTTCGCACTGGTGGTTTGCTCTGCTTGGCAAGTTTTGTTGTCTAAGTGCAAACCAGACTGAATTTTAAAAATGTAAAGCACATTAATAATCAAAATTAAAGGTTAAAAAAAATCTAGCGAGTTTTCTGTAAATCACCCACATGGGGCATCTTGCAGGATTAAATAACACCAAACATGATTTTTGTTCCTGCTGACAGCAAGTATTCCCTCTTGTGGAGAGAGAGAGAGAATCTTAGCCTATTGTATGTACAAACTTAGTTATCCAAACATTAGTTGAGGGAGGAGAATATGTACCTAAAGAGAGCTGAAACCTCACTTCTTTTTCTCTTATTAACTGTAAGAGAATAATCAGCTGTATCTTACACTGTATTTCTTTTTTTGTCTTTACACCCCTGTCTCCAATGAGTTCTGATCTCATGTGAATGCGAGGGAATGCATTTGGTCCTGGTTATTCCTTTAAATATGAGGGAGTTCTTCCCTGTCCAGCAAGCAGAAATATTTGCTTCCCCAATGACTAAACATACTGGCATATTTCTGTTCTCTTTCCCAAAAAGCCGTGCTCTTACTGTATAAAAGAAACTAACTGCCTAAACCTGACTTAAATTCTGGTAACTTGCTGTTAAGTTTAGAGGGAAAAGCACCCAAGACTTCTTACAAACTTTTTTATCCACTTCTAGTTTCACCTTCTCTTTCTGCTCAGTTCTGGTTCTGTTCTGGGCATTACATGGCCAGGAATTTTGTTGGCTTCTCTTGCTGTTTTATATGTTTATGTACAGATTTACAGTGCTTCATACTTTTGCCCAAAGCTCTATTTGCTTTGATTAAGTTTGTTTCCACTCGCTGATCTTACTAGCCCTATATTCATCCATCCATCCAGCCATGGGTAACTGTCCTGATGTGTTTTCCTCTGTGTTTTTTTTCCCTCAAAGTTACCAATTTTTGCTTCCAAGACTGCCCTTGAATCCTTGAGAAAAGGTTTAAAGCCCTTAGGTAGTTGTTTGTGGGCAGCCTCCAGCACCTGGTACCAGGAGGTGCCCAGAGGGTGAGGGGCAGTGGAAGCCCTGGCCTAGGGGGGCTCGGGTCAGTGCCACATTGCACCCCTGGTTATCCTGCCTGCTGGGTGGCCAGTGGCCAGCCATGGACAGAACTGCACCTCCCACCCTTTGAGTTTCTTGATTTTCTAGGCAGGCATGAGGCGTGCAGACTTCTTAAAAATGCTGTTGTGGCTGGTCTCAATAAATAGATCAATAGTTATTAGGTGAAAATGTTGACCCCTGCTGTATTGATAGTCCAGAGGGCTTGCCAATACCTAGAATGAATTCACTGTTTGAGCCTGGGATGATTCAGGTATGTATCTGGTATTTCCCAGGAGAGGGCATAACCATAACAAATGTTCAGTTATTTAACGCTGGCCTTGGATTCAGCTGGATGGACTCATAACTTTTAGGTAAAAGATACACAGAGACACTGAAATCCTAGGTTAAAAGTATCTAACTTGTCTTTTATTGGGTTGTGTCACTCCCACTTGTGTGGGTGAGCGACTGACATCAGAAAGGAGAATCAGTTTTCCTCTTTGAGCAGACAAGTGGCAACCAAAACATTTTCTTTTTCCCACTCTGTATAGGTGTTTTTACTACTTGTTAATATATCTTCCTCTTCCTTAGCTATTTATATTTCTATATCCAAGTACCCACACCATGCCTTTCCAGAACAATTTGGTCCTGGTTCTCCTTTGCTCTTTAAGCCTTGGCAAATCACTCACAGCTTTGTGAATCACATTTCCCATCGTGAAAGAGAAGTCCTTGTCTATGTGTAAGGTATCTTTTATACAGTAACTTGGGATTAAGATGTGTTACTAAAGTATGACATCCGGATATTGGAGAAAATATCTGTTATGACACAGCTACTGTTGCATCTGTGCATCTACTGTAAAGTTTTACATGCAAGTCATTTGCTTTTCAGAGTGTAAAAAAATGGATTTGGCCAACCATGGACTTATTCTGCTGCAGCAGCTAAATGCTCAGAGAGAGTTCGGTTTCCTGTGTGACTGCACAGTTGCCATTGGGGATGTCTACTTCAAGGCACACAAATCTGTCCTCGCTTCTTTCTCCAACTACTTCAAGATGTTGTTTGTTCATCAAACCAGGTAACTCTAAAAAGGTTCACCATTTAAATGTTGTTCAGTTAACTAAGCTAAGGGAATCTAGCAACAAAATGTTCTTTTTGCTTCTTGTTAGGACATAAAGAACGTCTTAACTGCAAACTAGAACCTCACTTTCAAACATATTAAAGTTGAACTGTGATTCATTAACACTAATTTTATAATTAAGCACAAGTTCCTTATCCTTAAAAAAGCATAGAAAATTTAATTTCTACAATTGAATACTTCAAAAATCCTGTCTTCTCTGCTGCACTTTCCTTCCCCCACTCACTGTCTTCTACTCTGTCTTGACACTGTTCTTGACATTTGTGCAATGTTACATACAATCAAATAAGTACTTGCTAGGAGATTTTGAGAAATAAACTTACAAAAGAGGTATATGTGTTTCATTTCTTTGCATTTTATTGTCAATTAAATAATAGAATACTATGTAATGGTGGAAAATAAGGGGGTTTGTGGTGCTTTTCTTTCAGTGTTTTTTTTTTTTAATTATTTCTGTACCACAGGCTTACATTGAGGAGATGATTGAAAAGATCACAAGAGTGTGAGACCACTTTAAAGATTTTTTGGTCTTTTTCCAAAATACTTGACCTAACTCAAAAAGTTAAAGTGATTCACACTTAACTCTTTGGCTAAGAGTTCTTAGCCAGAAGTGAGCTGCTAGGAGAGAAGTGCATTTGCACTTCTGAAACAGGACTGCAAGCAGATGTTATCAGTCTTGGTGGTCCATCAAGAGCACACAGTTATCTTTGAAAGACAGTATTGCAAGTTTACTTTTGAGTCATATATCTGAATTCAGAAGCGGTCACAGAGAGAGCTCAAGAGGGGTGCACCTCAAGAAACAGAAGAATTGGCTGTAATTTCCTCCTCAGCTTGGTAGCCTACTGTAGTTAGAGCATTCAGACCACAGCACGTAATCATGCCCGTTTCTGAATTTCTGTGGTTTATTTATGTTTGTTTCTAATAGAGGAGCTACAAATACTTATGAAAAATAATTAGAATCCCAGTTCCTCTCTGATCTCACCAGGATGTTCCCTGTTTCCTTTCTTGTTCTGTGAACCTTGCCTTACTTTCTACACAGAGATACAGCCTCAGCTAGAGCAGTGGTGGCTGTCTCAGTCCAGAGCATCGTAGAGGTTGATGCATAGGGCACACTGAGTTGGAGGGTGGTGTTGGTTTCAGCCCTCTTGGGCTGAAGAGGGGATCACAGCCAAAGCATCTCCCTTTGAGTGCTCTAATCAAGGGACTGCTAGGCTGAACAGGCAGTCCGCTGGTGCTGCTGTTTTTCCTCCCTATTAAAGGAAAAAATCTGCTGTTCTGCTGTGTACGAAAAACTGGATTCCAGGGGCTACACCTGTTGCATGAGATCCCTGGGTGAATTCACACTCTGTACTGCATGGTTTCTGGATCATAATGCACTTATGACAACAGAATACCACACATTTGCAGAACTGTAGCTGTAAACCCTAGTAGGACATAGAATCCCAGCAGGCAAGTGGCAGATGAATTAGGTGTTTTCAGGACTAAATACTGAGAAAAGTTTATTGGACTGTGAATTTAGAGTCCCATGCTAGCAGGATGTAATTTAGCTACAGATGTGTTTGAATCCAGCCAACAAAAGGGGGAAAATGTCTTTGCAGTTTACAAAATATATTCATATGTGACAACACATTTACACAACATAACAGCAATTTAAAATGGTATAGGTCGCAATGGGACAGCTTTGCTTTCAAGCCAATTACTTCACTGAGGAAAGAAGTCATCTTTCAAGTAGCTCCTGAGATTAGCTCTTTCACAGTAAAGCATTTCCCTTTATATTTATTGCAGATTCTGTCTTTTGAATTTAAGTAGAAACCTCCTATTTTTATCAAGGCTTGAATAATCTAGAACTGGGAAAAAATCTTTTCCTTATGTCCTATTTATAATTTTGTTTCACCTTTCAGTGAATGTGTCCGTTTGAAAGCGACCGACATACAGCCAGACATCTTCAGTTATCTCTTGCATTTGATGTACACTGGGAAGATGGCACCACAACTCATTGACCCAGTTCGACTAGAACAGGGAATAAAGTTTCTGCATGCATATCCACTAATTCAAGAGGCCAGCCTTGCAAGTCAGGGAACTTTTTCTCACCCGGATCAAGTCTTTCCATTAGCATCTTCATTATATGGCATTCAGATTGCAGATCACCAGATAAGGCATCCCACTAAGGTTACGTCAGCGACTGACAAACTTGGGCGAGAACCACGGCCTCAGACATCCCGGATGAGCCAAGAGCAGGCTTCTGATGGCTCACAGCTCTCGCAGTTGGGTGCAAATCTGCCACAAGTGAGCCGGACAAATATGTCTGCTTCTGACCCATTGCCATCTTCTCTGTCTCCGGAATTGGTGTCTGCTGCTGGTAATAATTCACCTTCGGGAGAAGAGGCCAATATGGAAGCATCTTCTTCAGATGAGCAGCCTGCCTCTCTCACAATAGCACATGTCAAGCCAAGCATTATGAAAAGGAACGGAAGCTTCCCAAAATACTATGCCTGTCACCTCTGTGGCCGGCGGTTCAACCTGCGCAGCAGCTTGCGGGAGCACCTGCAGATCCACACGGGAGTTCCCTTCACATCTAGCCAGCAGGGAGAGAGTAATATTTCTTTGTCTCTTTGTAACAACACAGCTGATAAAGATGCCATGGAAGTGCCTGAAGCGGGGATGATTAGTGACAGCGAGCTGCAGCAGATCTCAGACTCCCCAATAATTGATGGGCAGCAGCAGTCAGAGACGCCTCCCCCCTCCGATATCGCAGATATCGACAACCTGGAGCAGGCAGATCAAGAGAGGGAGGTAAAGAGACGGAAATACGAATGTTCCATCTGTGGTCGCAAATTTATTCAGAAAAGCCACTGGAGGGAGCACATGTACATACACACGGGCAAGCCCTTCAAGTGCAGCACTTGTGACAAAAGCTTTTGTAGGGCTAACCAGGCTGCCAGACACGTGTGCCTAAACCAGAGCATGGACACGTACACCATGGTGGATAAACAGACTCTGGAGCTCTGTACCTTCGAGGAAGGCAGTCAAATGGACAACATGCTTGTACAGACCAACAAGCCCTACAAATGTAACTTGTGTGACAAAACTTTTTCAACTCCCAATGAAGTAGTCAAACATTCGTGCCAAAATCAAAACTCTGTCTTTACGCTAGAAGAAGATCGCTCCATTCTGTTAGGTGGTGGGGACACAGAAGCCACAGAGACTGATAACGCAGTGTTAGCCTCCATCAAAAAGGAGCAGGAAGCAGTGTTGTTAGACTGAATGTGAAACCTATATCAATTTTTTAAAGTTTCTTTACTCATTTTTTATTAAATCCATTTTTTCCTCCCGCTACCTCTTACCTCACCCCTACCATCTTTTCCAGCAACCTCCTTCCCACCCTTTGTCTTCAGCAACCAGAACTGTACTGGCACATTAAGGAAATTGGACTTTGCCTCTCCCACCAAAACAAACAAAAAGCTCTTGCATCAAACCACAACAAAATTGATTTTAATACAAAGGAACATGTGGAAAAACAATCCAGCTAACTATGTTGATAGTATTAGTTATTCCAAATTTAATAGATTTTAAACAAAATTTGGATTGCTTAAAAGTGTATTTAGATACAATGATGAGTGTAATGAGAAACAGAGTATCAGTTTGGTAAGCCAAGGATATTTGTATTTTAGTTTCCCTGGTAGAAGGCATTTTGAGATCTTGCAGATTAAACACTGTGCTCTTTACAAGTCTGCATGCAAGTTGATTAAGGTTATAACCTAAGCCCTCAGAACTTTTCCTCAAAGAATGCAGGAATCTCTGTTCATTGAGTTAAAAAGAGCTGAGGGTGTTGGTTTTCTTTTAGCCGTATGTTTTCTTTCAAGTATGCCTTTGGGTATCTGTTTCAGAGTCAAGCCAAGTTGTTACTTAGTCAAATTCTGACTCAAGTAGCTGTAATAGTAATGTGATGGCAATCTTTATATATATATATATATAAATACTGTATATGTATAAAGATTTATATATATATAAAGTGTCTGTGTGTATATTTGGTACAGGTAAATAAATGCACACATCCTTTTTAAGTAACTGGCCGTCTGCTCTCAGATTCAGCCTGGAATGTCTTTTAGTTGTTGGACAAAGCTAGTCATTGCACAGGTTGCTTTTAGCCAAATTGAAACATCCTGAGCTGTGTGCATTTTTATTGACCTGTTGAAGAGAAGCCAGTAGGTAAGTGTTGTCACCCAAGCTACCAAGGAAACTAGAGAAGTGGCATACAGGTGAACACTGCACCATCATTAGTGCAGCACATGCGTGTGTTGTTAGCTATACAGAGCTTTGAGTCTTTCTGGATGAAAGGAGAGAGGAAAAGCTTTATTTCCTTACTCAGGCAAGGAATGTCCATGATTTCATTTGGTCTAATAGCATGAGTTAAGAAGAAGGAAAAGCGGTATTACAGCAACAGGTGATCATGGTTGTTTTAAAATGAATCTGTAGTGCTGGCTAGAAAATTCTGCTCTATGAGAGTCCTGTTATTTTGAAAGCCAAGACAAAGCCTGCAAAAACTGAAAGGGTGAATTCTGTAGTTTTAGTTACTGCTGATGGTAGTACTGCATCTTTGTGTTAAAAATCAAGTTGTTGATTTTTATTATTTTATATAGATGCCCAGATTTTTTGCTGGTAGCCTAAAAACCTAAACTGACAGCAGCAGTGAAGCCCACTGAGCAATTACTGGGCCAACAGAAGGTCTAAGTGGACAGAAAAAGTGCCCCATCATAAATGGAGACAGTGTGTGTTTGGGGGGAGGGGTGGGAGAGGGCAAGTCACAAACCACAGCTCTTCTCTGTGTATACGTTTAAACTGAATATCATCTTTTTGTGTATAGTTAAGTTCTCAGATTTGTAAGTTTTTATACATCATTTCATTGAATAAAAACTGAATTAAATGGGATATGATTTATTGAGTTGAAGGTGAAAGGTTGTTGGTGTTCGGTCTTCCTGGATGAGCTCTTGCTGAATGAGTTTAAAAGCCAAGCAATGTATTCTGTTTATCAGACTAAAACCTCCATTACACAGGTGAACAATGAGCTTACTAAAACTTGAGGTGGATTTAGCACAAAAAGTCTCTACATACTAGATTTTTTCCCAGCTTATTATAATGTGACCATTATTGTAAAGTTTATTGTAAGTGCTATTGATTTTATTATCTCTCTTTTATTAGAGTTATAGGTTTAAAATCAATTGACTTCAAAGTCTAGAAGTCTTTTGAGGTTATTTTAGTGCTGCCCATTTTAAAACTTTAGGATCTTCATCTACCAGTAAAATTTTCTTAAATGTGGGGTTTATTTAATCTTTCTTAGTCCAAAATGCTCTGAGAATAGAAAAACAAAAGAATAAACCTTTCCTAGTTCAGGGTAACATCAGCTTTGGAGATATCTGTGGTTTAGGGGATAGTCACAAGTTCATTTCCAAAATGACTGAAGCTGCTAAAGGTGCTACCACCTCAGCTGTTAGTTACTGCTTAGATGCTTTTTTTTTTTTTTTTAATCCAGTTCTGCTATGGGGCAAAGTACAGCAGTTCAGCTCAACTCCCCAGATGGCTGGTTGTGTAAGGGTGCATGTGGCCACAGCATTTATTGTGAGACACTATTCCTGCTCTCACTTCTCCTTCTCCACTGTTTGGACATCATGATGTTTTCTAGGTTACATGTTGAATGGACTCAAGCGAAAAACAACCAGTCTTAAAAGAAGCTATTTTTCTGTCAAACTTGTTCCTTATTTTAGCTCTGCAGAAGGTTTTGAACAGCTCACAGATTGTGCAGAGACAGAGATGAGCTGGGAAGAGCCTTACTGAAGGCAGCGTTGCTGCTGGCAGCACCCAGGATGTAGAAGATGGGAAGGGGTGACTCCCACTCGGGCAGGCAGCTCCTTTGGAGGGCAGAGTGGCCTTGCAGGCTGGTGTGCTGCCCAGCAAGATGAGCAGGGTGGGGCAGGGAAACAAGCAGCCATGGAAGGAGTTGGTTGTGATGGTCCTGTTGCTACAAGGAATGTGAAATTGCAGGCTCAGCAGAGATACTTTCACCTGTTAATATTTATTCTTATGAAATAACACTGTCAGGTAAAAAGAAAAAAAAGCCACAATAAAGAGACTGTTTTAATATGTGTTGAGCTATGATAATGGTTTCTTTTAAATACCCTTTTATTGTCTGATGCTCCATTGGGATATTTAAGTCATTGCCTTTCAATTTCATGAGCAGTTTTGTTCCTTTACAACATATTAGAAACAGTATAATTCTGGTTAACAGCTGCATCAAGAATTTGGGAAATTGCAGCACAAATGCAGTTTTGCTCAAGCTTCTTTTTCTAAACCCTCTGAATTATTATTACAGTTAGAGATAACTCCGGGGTCTAGTTTTCAGTTTGACTTGGAGATTTGTGACTGCTCATTGCTCATTGCTCATTCAGTCTGCTCACCTGCTGAAGTTGTGAATTTTCTACCAAATAAAAGCAGACATCTTAGCAGGAACTGCTGAGAAGTTGGTGAAAATCTGCCATCATTCAAGGCCATGGGCTGGAACTTCAGCTCCATGTTTTTCCAAAGGAATATCTTCAAAGATAATTTCCTAGGCATGTCACTTGACATCTCTGCCTTGACTTCAAAAGTACCAAACACCTACAAATCTCTCTGCTCCAGTAGAGGATTATCACTTCTGAAAGTGAGGTTTGCAGTCCATTGCAGTCAATATTTTTCCATCAAGTATCTTCTCCATCGCTGGTCTGATAGTCATTCTGCTTCAGGAGAGGGAGAATTTATCAGAAGACTTGTGTAACAAACACTGGATACTTAAAATTGCTCCTGTTTGCACTACAGAGCCTGCAGTTGCTGTCTTGATGTGTAAAAAATCTGGCTGGCTCTTCAGCTCCAAATCCCATAAAGTAACAGCCTCAGTCACAAAAACTTGTGAGTTGCAAGAGGAAAAAAAAAAGAAACATATTTCATTCTGTTTATTTTAAATAATTTCTTTGGCATTGCAACATCTTTTGCATCTTTTTCTTAAAGGAGACCTGGTTAGACTCAAGCAGGTGCTGTGGTACCTGGTACCTGCTGGCATCACAGTCTCTCAATGATTTTTTTCCCAATCTGCTTAACTGGAGGATTACCTTGATTGGGTATTTTGCCTTTGTGGAGAGTAATACAATTCTTTAGATATTCTTGTCCCAGGCACTTAAAGATCAATCAGATTAATTCTTGACCAAGTTCAAGCAATTTTCCTTGATTGTGTTTCCACATCTTTTAATCTTGAAAAGTAAAGACATATAAAGGTAGTTAATTTTGGAGTTCTGTCATTGATTCTCCTCTTTATTGCTTCCCAAACATCAACAAGTGTTTTAAGATACTTCATAGTTATGAATGATTAGGAGTAATCGGGTTACTTTAAAAAAAAATTTTAAACCAATTAGATTCCTATTTCAACACTGTAAATGTTACACTGTTAATTACAGCAGCATACTTTGGTTAATGAAATCTAGGTGACAGAGTACCAGTGGTGATGGAGACTGGCTGTTCAGGTACTCCAGCTGTTACTCTGAGACAGAATGTTTCCACTTCTGCAGCTCTTGTTTTGTTCACTTGTTTTTATTTGTAAAAATGCCCATTCTCACTGGATAATGAAATCCCACTCATACCAAAAGTAGAACAAAATAGAGAGAAGCAAGAAATCTTTTGCAACACCATTAATGTGCATTTGCCAAATTATCTGTGATCATCTCTAGAAATAAGAGGAATTCACTGTCCTTAAATATAGTCTCCTAAATATAGTCTGCCATTAAGAAGGACATATTTAGATGGAATTTGGCCAAAACCACGTAACACATTTCCTGTGCAGTACAGCCCTGGTGCTGTGATGTTGGTGCATCCATGCTTGTGAACACATCACGTGTGCCAAGATGCAAGAGCTCAGCATGGCCTAGGAGCAGCTGTCAGTGACTGTTGTCATTCCTTGAGGAATGAGTGCCAGTGTTCCAGTGCCAAAGGAGCTGCCAGCAGGACTTCCTCATATTCAGCCTGTGTCTATTGCCTTGGCCAAAGCTGAAGCCTTCCTGGAACCTTAGGAAATCTGCTCAGGGAAGAGAGAAGCAGAGCTACAGAATGAAAGTTAACACAAATGTTCACTTACTGTACTGCTCTGCAGAGTGTGGAGGAGGCACCCACCACTCCAGCATGCCTCAGCACAGATCCACAGCCTGTACCCAATCTGCTCACTGTGTTCATTTTGAAGCAGTTCATACGCTTTGTAAGGGAGATTGCTGATCAATCCTTTGTTTCCTTCTATCCTTAATCTCTCAACCACATGGTTAAAGCACTTTCTATTTTGTTACTACTGTATTGTGCAATTCCAGTTTCAGCAGTGAATTATTTAATATATTGCCATTGTTTATTTGGGTCTCTCAAATTCACAGATCAATGTACTCTGTCAATCAAGATTTATTTCATGAGCTTATTAGGTAAAAGTCAAACCAGACTACTTTTGACAAATTAGTCTGATCTTTCATTGTGTTGCTTCAACAATTCAAACATCCATTAACTCAGGAACTGACTGGAGCACATGCTTATGAGCAAGCGAGTTGCCAGGGTGAGGGTCAGGGTGCTCATCCTTCCTTTGCCTCACACTGCAGGTGTCCGCTCCATCACCCTGGGAAGCAGGAGAGCCTCAGCAGCCTGGCTTCTGCTGGATCTGCTGCCAAAGGCTTTTGGGTAAGCTGGTGTATTCCTGTATTCCCAGCTTGGAAGCCCGGTCTGTACCTTTCCTGTGGCTTGTTGCAGCTCACTCCAAAGTCTTCCAGGCTCACCAGACCTGCCAAGCAGTCACTTGTGCCAGGCTGCAGTCCCCTGTGCCACTGTTCCTGCAGCCACAGGCACTTCTGGCAGCAGGGCTGGGCCTCAGCAGGGGCTGTACCTCAGGGAGCACCGAGCAGGAGCCAAGCCAGAGCTGCTGTGGATCTGGGCCCCTTTTCTGATGCTGTGGATCTGGGCCCCTTTTCTGCTGCTGCCCTCTCATGTCCTGACTTGAGCCAGTCTGGCACCAATACAGCAGTGATCTGGAACTCTGCTGCAATACAGCAGCTCTAGATAATGAAAAGTTAACACAATTAACAAAAGTTAAAAATTAACAAACGTTAACACAATTTTTAAAAGCACAGCTTTTGGCCAGCCCTGGATATGGACACTGGCCACAGGCTCTCTGTTGGTCTCTGCCAGCATGAAGGTCCCAACCCAGCAGGAGCAGGCCTTTCCTGAGTGTCATATAAAAGGATAAAGTCAGGAAAAAGTGGAAGGTCAGGTCCTTCCACGCCAGCAGTAGTGCTCAAAGGATGTGAAGTGAAATAGTCCCTGAAAGCATGTGATTGGCAGGTGCTGAGGAAAGGAAGGGATGCCCCATCACCAAACCAGCACCACTCCAGCTGCTGGCACACAGACAGACATATGCACAGCATATGGAGTAATAATTGTTCAATAATAATAACAATAATCTTGTTCTTCGATATAATTGCATTCTTACAATTTTAATTAATTTTTTAATCTCATTTTGAGGCACCTTTGCAATACTGATAACAGAATGGAGACCCAGAACAAGTCCTGATTTGTGCACAAGAACTGAAAAAAAAACATTTGTAGAAACTTTATCCTTGTTCACTGAGTTTATTAATGTTCAAAATTTTCATGCCCTTTTTAATAAAACTGTAGTATGATATTAATTTTTTAAAAACCCTACTATAGGCATAACTTGAAGAATGTAAGTGTTGCTGTGCATCACTCTCCTGTCATAGGAAATGTCTCAGAGCAAAGGGCCACAATACCACCAGTTTTTTCTGAGTCTATCTGCTGCAAGTGAAGCAAAAGCAAAAATCAGCAGAAGGAATCAGCTGAAATGTGGATCAGCTTTCATCTGTGTGCAGAGCTGTGCCACATAGAGTGGAAAGCCAACGTGGTGAAACAGTAGCTCAAACTAAATGGGGAAAGTCTGAAAGAGCTGAGCAGTTACTCAGGAAGCAGTCACCTAAGCTGTGAAGCTGTGATCATGCCTGTAAAGACACCACCTTTCCTGTTTTGGGGTGGGGTTTGGGGTTTTTGTTTTGCTTTGGGATTTTTTACATTATATTAACTATTTCCTCTAAGAAGAGTGGTACACTTGTCCCAGGGAATGGGAGCACTACCTTCAGTTCTCGTTAGCTCAAGAGTCAGAAATCTTAGCTTGGGATTTGCATTTGTGTCTTAAAAAAGCATACTAGGAATTTGGAAATGGTGGCTGTATTAATGCTTTTTCCACCCTTCCCCCCACCATAGATAGCTCCTCTTTCTCCTAAAGGAGATGTTTTGTGCTTCTAAAAAGAAGTTGACCTACAGAAATTTAAATTCATAAATTCCCGTATTAATGGTAGACCCATGAGAAACTCATCTAATGTTGCAATGCCACAGAAAACATCTCTCTGATTCTGATACTATGCAAGGGAGCGTGAGCTGATGGTTTGCTCTGCATCTGGCCATGCTGGTGGGCTCCCTCAGAGTGCTTCCAGGAGCTGAGGGTTTGCATGGTGAGAGGAAAAAAGTGCAGCTGCTGCTGCTGCCAAGAGGATTTATTTGCTCTGTCATGCAGCTGCCAGTAGCGGTACTCGCTTGCAGAGCCACACCTCCGTGGTGACTCTCACATGAGGAAATGAGCACATCTGGTTCCTCTTGCTGTCAAGGAACATGATTAAACATGGCTCTGAGAGCTGGGAAATAGAGATACAATGACAGTGGCACTCAGCACTGATGTCTGTGCCACTGAGCACAACCAGGGTTTCCAAAGCAGTGACACTCCAGGCTTCCAGAGGTCTCCTGGACTGAGCTGAACTGCTCTGACTGAAGTTAAGCAGGAGGCTTTGCAGAAGTGCCAGCTTGCAAAGTGCTACAGACAAGGGCAGTTCCTCAATCTGTGTTTGAAAGCTACCAGCTGGGTCGCAAAATTCTTTTTCAGTGTCTAATGGGACCAAGAAGACACATTCATTTCTTGGTACCATCCTGCAGCAGGAAATGTGTTAAGATCTCACGGATGAGTTGCTCCAGCTCTCAGGAACCCAAAGGAGATCCCAGGGAATTCAGGCACCTGCAGAAGTGAT